TGAATTCTCTCGAGCACACTGGCCTAGGTGGTCTCCCCATGTGCGGCTGTAGACAGCAATATCATCTAAATACGCACATGCGAAGTCCTGGAGTCCCTCCAGGAGCCTGTCAGCCATCCGCTGAAACGTAGCCGGGGCATTCTTCATCCCAAAGGGCATAACCTTGAATTGGTAAAGCCCAAAAGGAGTGACGGATGCCGACTTGGGGATGGCGGCAGACTCCAGGGGGATCTGCCAGTACCCTTTGCACAAATCCAGAGTGGTCAAGTAATTACCTCCCACCATACGGTCCAGTAACTCATCTATTCTGGGCATGGGGTAGGCGTCTGTTATGGTGCGGTCGTTGAGCCTCCGGTAGTCTACACAGAAGCGTGTGGTGCCGTCACGCTTCGGTACTAGTACTACCGGAGAGGCCCAAGGGCTTTGAGAGGGTTCTATTACCCCTAACTTGAGCATGTCGGCAAGTTCTGCCAGCATGCTCTAACGCACGGCCTCGGGAATGCGGTATGACGGCTGCCGTAGTGGCGTCTCTCCCTGGGTATCTACCCGGTGTACCGCAGCGGAGGTATAGCCTTGAATGGCAGAAAACATGCCCTGGTATTCCCGGAGTAAGCCGGCCGCTTCCTGTCGCTCTATAGGTTGTAGGTTCTGACCAAGACTGACCTGGTCAATACTGCAGGGAGAGGAGTCTAACAGATCGGGGAGTGGGAGTCCCTCGCTATCTTCGGAAGAGGGGGCGCATACAGCGCCGACGTCTTCCGTCCGTTCGTAGTAAGGCTTCAGCATGTTTACATGGAAGACTTTGGTCAGTCTCTCATCTGAACATTTACTTACAATGTAGGTGGTATCGCTCATTCGCTCCACCACCTTGAAGGGTCCCTGCCAGGCCGCCTGGAGCTTATCCCTTTTGGCGGGTCTCAACGCTAATACTTTTTGGCCCAAGTCTAGGACTCTGTCCCGGGCACCCCTGTCGTAGCACCTCTTTTGGCAGTCCTGGGCCGCCTGCAGGTTCTCACGAACGTATTGGACTATAGGGATCCCCCCATCATCCGTGTTGCCCTCCCAGTGCTCCCGTACGAGATCCAGGGGGCCCCGAACTTTTCTCCCAAACAGGAGTTCGAAGGGGGAAAACCCCGTGGATGCCTGGGGCACTTCACGATAGGCAAACAGGAGATGGGGAAGATACCTTTCCCAGTTCCTGCAGGACTCTGCGAACGTTTTTAGCATTTGCTTGAGCGTGCCGTTAAAACGTTCACAGAGACCGTTGGTCTGGGCGTGATATGGGGCGCTAAAGAGGGCTTTCACTCCGCAGCTCTGTCACAGCTGTTGTGTCAGGAGAGCTGTGAACTGAGTCCCTCTGTCGGATAGGATCTCCTGGGGGAAACCTACCCGGGAGAATATTTTGACCAGGGTCTCGGCTACCGTTTCGGCCTCTATATTGGGAAGGGCTACGGCTTCGGGGTACCGAGTGGATAGTCCACTACGGTGAGTATGAACCTTTTACCAGACTGACTGGGCCGACTGAGGGGTCCTATTAAATCTACCGCTACTCGGTGGAACGGCTCGTCTATGATGGGTAATGGGTGGAGCTTCGCTTTTTGGTCACCCCGTTTCCCTATTTTCTGGCAAACGTCACAGGTACTGCAATAGTACTTGAGGTCTTGAGTGATCCTGGGCCAGAAGAAAGTTTGGGTCAGGCGGTCCCTAGTCTTCTTAACCCCTAAATGTCCGGCTAGGGGAATATCATGGCTGAGTCTTAGTAACTCAGCCCGAAACTTGCGGGGCACTACCAGTTGTCTTTTAGTAACCTGGGCGGTTCGTGGCCCGCCCCATCTGTCACCCTATACAACAGTCCCTTATGCCATTCAAATTTTTCGTGGGGGTTGTCGCCCCTATTGTCCCCTACTGCTTTTCTATACCCGGCTAGAGTGGGGTCAGTCCTTTGTTCCTGCTCAAACCCCTGGGGCGTATCTCAGAACGAGGAAGGGGGGTCGGGTAAAGGGGGGATGTCAACTCCTACCTGGGTTTCCTCAGAGTGCAGCGGTGCTTCCAGTCTGGCTTGAGCTTGGGTGGTAACCGGATACGCTTCAGCTGTGGTGTCTCGGGCTAGCTGGGAAGTTAAACAGCCCACATCATTCCCCAACAGTACTTCGGCTGGTAGCTCCTGCATAATGCCAACCTCTAGTTGTTTAGATCCCAAGCCCCAATCCACAAGAACTTTAGCCATGGGTAATTTGTGGATGGCACCCCCGGCGACCCTTACTGCCACAGTGCAGCCCGTGTGAGTTTGAGCCTTGACAGTATGCGGTTGAACCACAGTTAACGTGGCCCCAGAGTCTCTTAAGGCGCGGGCCCCCACCCCGTCTACCGTAATCCAATGACGGTGGTGGTCCCGGTTGTCACCCCCTGCTTGCACAGGGTTGACTTCGTGCAACACACTCCATTGTTCCTCGTGGGGAGGTACCCATGATGTACTCTCCTGCTGTACACAATGAGCAGTGGCCCTGGGTTGTGACTGTGGAGGTTGCCTTTCCCAGCTTCCCCGGTTTAAACGTTGGCACTGATTTTTAAAGTGTCCTGGTTGTTTGCAGTAGTGACACACTGCAGGTTGTCGGGGTGCTACTGCTGGGTTGTGGGGCGAATTACTCAGGGGGGCTCTAGGTGGTGCAGCCGTGGTTGGGGCTGAATAAGGTTGTTTAAACGTAGGTCGGCTCACCCCTTGTTCTCGCCTCCGGTTATCCTGGTATTCATCTGTCAGTCTTGCTGCCTCTTCCACAGTTTTAGGCTTCCTGTCTTTAACCCAGTCCTTAATATCCTCTGCGGTATGGTTAAAACATTGTTCTAAAAGGAGGAGTTGTAACGCATCCTCCAGAGTGGTTGCTTGGCAGCCCTTCATCCAATTTCGGGCTGCCCTGTGTAGCCGGAATGCCCATTCAGTATGGGTGTCCCTCCCTGTTTTCCTCAGTTCCCTGAATTTCTTTCTGTATGCCTCAGGGGTAACCGCATATCTAGCCAACAAAATGTCTTTTATCTTCCCATAATTGTGAATATCCTAATCAGGTACTGCTCGTGCTGCTTCTGATGCTCTGCCTGACAACTTGCTGCTGAGTACTGCAGCCCATTTGGTGGAGTCTAATCCCTCCAGTGCACATTGCCTTTCAAAGTCTTGCAGATAACTATCAATCTCCATTTCATTGTCATTAAAGTTTTTAAATGCAGCATAATTTACCTTTTTCGGCATGTCATTTGTACTTCCCGGGGAGTGTAGCAAATCCCCCTGTAGTAGTCTGTCATCTCGCTCCTTCTGTGCTTGCCTAGCTTGTGCCATGACCTGCAGCATCGCCTCTGTTGCTGGATTAGGTCCCAATAAACTGAGCATCCGTCTGATGTCCTTCTGCATCACCGTTTCTTCCTCAGGTTCCATTTCTGTAGTGCTGGTTCTGTCGCCCTGTATCAGCTCTGCAATTAACGTGGCTTTTGTTTTGTTGCTTGCTATTACGCCTCGAGCTTCCAGCAAATCCTTAAGCGTGGTTCTTTTAAGCTGTTGGTACTGCTGCGCCATTCATTCCTTTGCTTGC